TGATGTCATCAACACAGTGGGACAATGTGATGTTTTGTGGCATGTTCAGAAGATCATGTCCAGTGGTGTGCTGGGGCCAGCTCACCCTGCCTTTTCAAGTTATTTGTCAAATTTTCAGGAATTTTGCAAACCAGTTGTTAAACATAGCCATTCTTTAAAAATTAAGTTGCCTAAACTCACACTCAAATAAATTGTATTAAAACATGGGTAATAATATGTAAATTTTGTATCATCTATGCTCTTGTATTTATTCCTTTTTTCTTTTTTGTTTTTGGTGTACTGAGGTTTGATCTCGGCCTTGTGCTTGCTAGGGAAGCACTTTACAATTTGTGTCATGCTCCAGCCTTCTTGCAGTTACACCTATTTTGTCTGTATAATAAAAACAATATATCATGCTCTGCCTAGTAATGTATGATTGTGAATCTCTTTCCAACTCTCTGTTATCAGTAATGACAGATTGACAGTTTAAAATTAGTCAAGGTGGAAATATTTACACTACAGAAATCAGCAAATGCTATAAATCAAGGCTTATTTACTTGGAGTAGCAATACATCTCTATCCTTTAGTTCATATGATCATGGGAAAGGTCTCACATAGACTTGAAGAAACACTGTAAATGTGAACGTACATCCTCACCCTGTGAATGGAAACTGCCTCTGGTCGTCTCTCTCGATAGTATTTGAGAAGAACACACTCATCAGATCAATAACTGCCTAACATGGACCCAGAGCATGTGAGGCACAACTGTGATTCAGGCTGCTGCTTAGTTTGTATTATTTCCATTATCTTCCAATATTCATCTAGTGTTTGCAGTGATCAAACTGGTGAAATAAATAGGTAACACGACAGGGACAACCACTCCCAATCCTTTAACAGGGGCATCAATCAACTTTTGGGTTGTGATATTCCTTTAGATTGTAAAATTGTTCTTGATATCCTGTCTTTTACGGGGAAAGGAGTGTAGATTCAGAAATCCCCATTTGGCCTTATCTATCATTATAGCTCTTAACTTCATAGACATCACAGAAACAATGTAGGATTCTTCTAGCTACCAAATCTGTGCATCCCAATTTTACATTCAGAGACTGCAGACATGACACCAGGCATGTCCATGAACCTGAAACATGCACTGTGATCTGGACCTGGGCCAACAGGCCCCATAAGTCCCCACTCTAATAATGGGTGAGAGGCATGACAATGATTCTGCTACACTGTATGAAGCTTAGATCAAAAATCCTAGTCCCCTCAAACCCTGGAGTTTTATAATTCTCTGTGGCTATAGCATTGTTCTACTCAGAAAGAAGTTGATTAGAAAAGAAAAAAATTGAGAACTCTTAAAAGTGTGATTCTGCATGGATGAATCAGAGGCATGAGAGGAACATATTAATGCTAGAATTCACTAGAGGTGGAGAAGAAAGAGACACTGCTCTTTTCCTTCCTATTGATAGAGAAGCAGTGGGTGACCTTTTGCCCACCCCAGTGATCATTATTACTAACATATTTTTTCTAATTACTCCCATGCTCCCTCTACCATCGTTAGTGGCCAATTGTCTATGGGCTGTGGAACCCTAGGGTCTTTGTAGAATTAATGAGCTCTTTCTCTGCATGGGATGGGAGTCATGGGACAGAGATATCTGCACAAAACCATGTAAGCCTTTCTACCACCAGGGCTTATAAAATAGATGCTAACTTCTCTTCAAATTGAGGGGAATGGTTGTTCGCAAACACCTTCCTAGCAAAGAGGTTTCCATGACCTCTCTTAGACTCATCTTCCCTGCAGAGATATGGTGGGCTGTGGTTGGTGAATAGCCAGTCCATTTGGGCTCACAAATCAGTTCTGGTGCTTACAAACCACATTGCTTTAGGCAAGTTGTTTTAAACTTTCTTTGCTTCAAATTCTTTGTATTGAGAGATAATAATACATAGAGTTTTAAGAGACAATCAGAGGTGTGCTGATGAATGTTTAACAAGCTTGGCTACAGGGAGACAGAGTCCTAACTTGTAGTGTTTTTCTATTTCCATAAATACTTCTACTGGGTGATTCAAGCTACCAGTGGTTTAATAGCTATCTCACAAAATTCCCAAAAGTTTAATAATCAACAGACAGTATAAACAGGCTCTCACACATGACATCTGCATATGCTTGGAAAAGTACCTGGTAGTAAACCTAACAATTCTTATTACAACCAGAGATCTAAATTGCCTGTTCAAAGATGACCATTCCTTTGTACTTTTAGTTTTCTTCTTGATGTCCAAGTAAAGACTGGGAGCAGTAAAGAGTTTTATCATGAGTAATTGCTGACAGCAAAGAGATTTTTCTTTGATTGAGGGTAAGTAGAACTTTTGCTCTTCTCCTATAAAATATCAGTTTCCACAGATCCCCAACAGCGGAGCACCAGATTTGGAATTAAACAGGGAAGATTTTTATCAGACACATTGAATCACACTGATCTGACAGCCTGAGCCCTCCAGCTGACCATGACCAAGCTTCCCAGAGGCCTTTCTCCTTCTGGGTTTCTCCAAACAACCAGGGAAAGAAAGATCCTCCAGAGTCTTTGACCCACCATCTATTGACTAGGTGACCTTAGACATATTACATACCCTGAGACCTTTTACTTGTTGGTAAAATTGGGATAGTAAGAACCAATTGTTCAGGGAGCTTCTTAGTACCATGCTTAACCTACCCATAGGAAGCAGTCAACAGATGGTAACTACTAATAGCAATAGCAGGTAATGATCGTCAGACTATCATAGCCCCTCTGAGGGGACGTCAACCCCGGCCCTGCCTCATAACACATTTTGGCAACTTTTGGCTCAAGAAGCAAATAAATGCACAAGCCAATAAATGAGTGTGTCAAAAGGAAACCAACTAGGAGAAAAATGGTAAATGAAAGACATCAAAAGGAAGAAAAGGGTCAGAGTTACTAAAGAAAATATAGATTGAAGAGATTCCAAAATAAGGGAGAGAAAGGAAGGGAGTGAAATGCCAAGAAAATGACTGAGTTTTTTTAAATGCAGAAAAATATACTCTAATGAAAGAATTTATTTTAAAAATGCAGAAAATTGATTATGATGAGAGCTGATGGATGAATAATAAATAGCTGGTAATCTTTTAATGTTATATAAAAAGAATTATATATAGCAAGGGAAACAAAGGAGGGGTGGCTGCAAATAGGCATGGAGATTGCTTTGGGTAATGAAATGTTCTAGAGCTAGGTGGTGTTGGTTGTATAACTGGTGAATATACATAAAAATACTGTGTACTTCAAAAAAGTGAATCTTATGGCATGTGAAAAAAAATCTCAAAAAATAAAAATAATAATTTAAAATCCTAAATGGTCATTCCATCTTTAAGGATGGGAAATTGAGAAGTCAGGGAGGGACTCACAGAACCTTCTAAGACATTTCAAATGTTTGTTCAGTTCCTTGATCTGGCTGGTGGCAGTAATAGGAGATGACTTCATTATTCTTTGTACTGTAAAGATTTGTTTTACTCACAACTCTGTTTAAATATATAATATTTAGATATTAAAGAGTATATGTCATGTGGGAAAAACAATAGGAGAAAAGGAACAAAAAAAAAAGACAAAAGCAGAAATTTCTGGCTTAAAAAGGAATTTAAACACAAGGTGGGGACCTGGGTTTAGCGACATGCCCATCCATCCTAGAGCACATTTGGCAGAGGTCCACCCATCTCACCTCACCCTCTCCATGGCCTTCCTGAGATCTTCTAAGACAAGAGAACTCTGAGTCCCCAGTTCAACTTTCAGAGTAGCTGCAGCCTCTAACTGGTTTATGCCCCAATACTTCTTTATTTATAGAAAAAAATCTACTCTAAGAACTTTCTCAGAAACTTTTGTCACAATATTTGTCCTTCACTTTATACACCCTTGGGCTGGTGTGCAGCTCAGTGATGGACCACAAGCCTACAATGCATGAAGATCTGAGTTCCATCCCTAGCACTGAAAAAAAAAAACCTTTATAAACCCTTTAGTGTCATTTACCCCCAAAATACTGGCTTTACTGGCCTTTAAACATTTAAGTTTTTGATAATGCTCCTGTGGACTCTTGGTGATGTTTAACTTGCATGGAGTAACTCACACCTCCTGCCTGGAAACTTCTGCACTGAGCATGTGGATCAATTCTCCTATCTAGGACAGCTGGTTGAGTGACTTTGGTTTTAAAAGAGGCTAGGGAAATTGAACTGATCTTATTATGTAGGGGAAATCTCTTAAAGTAAAAGAAAAACTCATTCATAGATAACACAGTCTGTCTCTGTTAAGTTCCCTTGCACATAAAGAAGTATAAAATAAATGAAATGTATCTCCATTCATTACAGCTCATTCAACCAATATAGAAATGATCAAGCCTACAGAGATAACATATAATCAGAAAATTTATTCAAAACTTACTAATTTGAATCTCTTTTTTTTTTTCTTCCAATGCTGGTGATCCATCCAAGCCAGAGAACCTACTAGACTCAGTTAATTCTCCAGCTCCAAAATATATTACTTACCACCTAGTTCCTCCAATAAGTAATTAAGGAATAGCACAACAGTTAGAAAAGCACTCAGAAGGGATAGAGATGTACTTCAGTAGGAAAGTATTTACCTGCATGTGCAAAACCCTGGGTTTCAATACACAACACCACAAAAAAAATAAGTAAAAATTTTTAAATGCATTCAGAACATAGGACACTCAATAAATTTCTGAACAACCAAATTACTTCATTAACCCACATTTGACATCAGCCTCCTTTGCCCTAAACCAGGAAGACAGTGTCATCATTGTGAACTCCATCCATAATCCTGGTCTCCTTTCTCTTATGAACAATTTTTCACCCACAGGAGCAGAGGATGTGAAGGAGTTTCTAGATGGTGTTGTACCTAGGAAAGGGTGTCAGGAAGAACAGAGGTAAAGGAGAAAGTATATTTAATATGCCCTGACAAGCATCCATGGTGAGCTTTTACGAAACATGTGGGAGCACACTAACCTGGCAGTCTCAGACCTCTGGCTGGACAGGAACAGGCCATGGTCAACCAAAGCTCCCCAGCGGGCTTCATCCTTCTGGGCTTCTCTGAACACCCACAGCTGGAAAAGATTCTCTTTGTGGTTGTCTTGATTTCCTACCTCCTGACCCTGGTGGGCAACACACTCATCATCCTGCTCTCTGTGCTGGACCCCAGACTCCACTCCCCAATGTACTTTTTCCTCTCCAACCTCTCCTTCTTGGACCTCTGCTTCACTACAAGTTGTGTCCCTCAGATGCTTGTCAACCTCTGGGGCCCCAAGAAAATGATCAGCTTCCTAGGTTGTTCTGTCCAACTCTTCATTTTCCTGTCTCTGGGGACCACTGAGTGCATCCTCCTGACAGTGATGGCCTTTGACCGCTATGCAGCTATCTGTCAACCACTCCATTATGCCACCATCATCCACCCCCGCCTGTGCTGGCAGCTGGCAGCTGTGGCCTGGATCATTGGGCTGGTGGAGTCAGTGGTCCAGACACCACCCACCCTCCACCTGCCCTTCTGTCCCCACCATCAGGTGGATGATTTTGTGTGTGAGGTCCCAGCTTTAATTAGACTCTCCTGTGGGGACACCACCTATAATGAGATCCAGATGGCTGTTGCAAGTGTCCTTATCTTGGTTGTGCCTCTCAGCCTCATCCTTGTTTCTTATGGTGCCATTGCCCGGGCAGTGCTGAGGATTGACTCTGCAGGGGGGCGAAGAAAAGCCTTTGGGACCTGCTCTTCCCATCTCATTGTGGTCACTCTCTTCTACAGCTCAGTCATTGCTGTCTACCTCCAGCCCAAAAATCCCTATGCCCAAGAGAGAGGGAAGTTCTTTAGTCTCTTCTATGCAGTGGGCACACCTTGTCTTAACCCTCTCATATACACCCTGAGGAACAAGGATGTGAAGAGGGCATTCAGGAGGTTGCTCAGGAGACAAGTGGAGACCAGACAAATCTGAGACAGCTGCTTAGTGTGTTTTAAAAAGGAGAGGAGATGGGGGAGGGGGGAAGGTGGCCCAATGATGTATACCGATGTAAATAAATGTAAAAATGATAAAATTTTTTTAAAGGGAGAGGAGATTCTGCATGCCTTATCATGAAGCTTGAGTTCTGTACTTCTCTGTCCTCTTCACACCTATCATGCCACAGCAATGGATGATGGCTGTGTGTGTGTGTGTGTGTGTGTGTGTGTGTGTGTGTGTGTGTAAAGGGAGGTGTCTCTAGGTAACACATTATCACATGGATCATATGTAACATTCTCTTTTCTCCATTTTATTTTTATTACCTCATCTTCATAATTATGTTCCTAATTTTATCATTTCCATTTCTAATTCCCCTCCCTTGTTACATTGTCACTATTTTTTAACCTCCAGTTCTAATTCCTATTATATTTCCTTTGAGTTTCTTTCCAATTATGTCTATTTTGCATTCACCCATTTTGACTCAGAAATTGTACTTGTAGAATATGTCAATATACTCATATGGGTGTAAATTAGTAAATGAATGAGGATACTCACTGAAGGATGGTTTCTAATAGCGAGTGATTGAAAATAAGTTAAAATTAATAAGGTACTGGCTAAATAAGTAGATGTATACAGATCCTTCGAAAGGAGGAAACTGAATTCATATGGAATGATTCCTTAGTAAAGGAAAAAAATAAAATAATATGCTGCTGTTAAGTTTAAAAGTTGGAAGAGTACACGTTTATAGCTATGTATATTTGTGTAAGTGTGTCAGTTATCAATAAATTAGTTCTCCACTCCAAATACCACTTTCATAATTTGATGTCACCTCCCCATCCCAGCCTGGTAATCATCTTCCCACAGCCCTGCCAATGTGGACAGCCTGCTCTCCAGATCTCTCATTTGAGCATCTGAGTATCTGCAGCCCTGTAAACTCTTCCTACAGCTCTCCAACTCAGACACTGGGTCACAAGTCCTCCCACCTATGGTGGCACCCAACTCAGCATGCCAAGCAACCTCACCAGTTATGGTATGTGTCCCAGAAGGGTGCTTTCTATTTTCTCAGAAACTGTTGACCAGTTCTGGACTAGGCAAACTGCTGGACTTCTCTGCCATCCAGTAAGCTGCAAGTACCCCTTCTTCAATGAGGTTTGAATCCAGAATGGGAGAAAGAGCCCAACTTCATTTTTAACTTGTGCACTCTCCTTTGGCCCAAGAATACCCAACAGAGTTATATTTATATGTTATGGTTACTCTTTTATCATTGTTTAACAATGCATTATATTAAACCCCCCTTGTGGGTTTCTGTGTCCTGATTGGACCTACATTTGTATAATACACACTGTCATTAGCAGGATACATTAGAAACTGGTTGCAACTGCTATCCCTAAGAAAAGGAAGTAAGTAACTTGAATAACTGCCATGGGAGGGAAATCTACTTTTTCATGTCTTTCTTGATTTTGAATGTTGAAGATGTGCATATTGTACTTATTATAATAAGGCGTGTGTGTGTGTATGTGTGTGTGTGTGTGTGTGTATGTGTGTGTGTGTGTGTGTGTGAGAGAGAGAAGAGAGAGAGAGAGAGAGAGAGAGAGAGAGAGATGTCATAGGCCATAGGCTCAGGGCAGAAGTGGCTACAAGTTTATGCCCCAATAGGAATCAGATCCAGTGCTAATCACAAATTGTCAGGCAAAATGACCATAATGAAGATGCCACTTTAAACAGATTAATTAATTATTATCCTAGGTTAAAATAGTTAACAAAATTATGAACAGCTTATTACTTATCCACTCATATATTTTATTTATCCATGAATACTATATATGCCACAAAACTATTAGATTGTTAATATATCCCATTCTATAATATGAAACCAGAAGAATTTCAAAAAGTTAAATTTGGGAGAAAATCATAGCAAAATGACATGTAATCCTGATATCACTTACCTTGCTTTGTACTTGAACCTGTAGCCACATATGAAAAGCACCTGACATCAGACAAAGGACTGATAACCAGAATATACAGGGAACTTAAAAAACTAAATTCTCCCAAAACTAATGAACCAATAAAGAAATGGGCACGTGAACTAAACAGAACTTTCTCAAAAGAAGAAATTCAAATGGCCAGAAAACACATGAAAAAATGCTCACCATCTCTAGCAATAAAGGAAAGGCAAATTAAAACCACACTAAGATTCCACCTCACCCCTGTTAGAATAGCCATCATCAGCAACACCACCAACAACAGGTGTTGGCGGGATGCGGGGAAAAAGGAACCCTCTTACACTGTTGGTGGGAATGTAGACTAGTACAACCACTCTGGAAAAAAATTTGGAGGCTACTTAAAAAGCTGGACATCGATCTACCATTTGATCCAGCAATACCACTCTTGGGGATATACCCAAAAGACTGTTACTCCAGAGGCACCTGCACATCCATGTTTATTGCGGCACTATTCACAATAGCCAAGTTATGGAAACAGCCAAGATGCCCCAGCACTGACGAATGGATTAAGAAAATGTGGTATTTATACACAATGGAATTTTATGCAGCCATGAAGAAGAACGAAATGTTATCATTTGCTGGATGGAATTGGAGAACATCATTCTGAGTGAGGTTAGCCTGGCTCAAAAAACCAAAAATCGTATGTTCTCCCTCATATGTGGACATTAGATCAAGGGCAAACACAACAAGGGGATTGGACTTTGAGCACATGATAAAAGCAAGAGCACACAAGGGAGGGGTGAGGATAGGTAAGACACCTAAAAAACTAGCTAGCATTTGTTGCCCTTAACGCAGAGAAACTAAAGCAGATACCTTAAAGCAACTGAGGCCAATAGGAAAAGGGGAACAGGTACTAGAGAAAAGGTTAGATCAAAAAGAATTAACCTAGAAGGTAACACCCACGCACAGGAAATCAATGTGAGTCAATGCCCTGTATAGCTATCCTTATCTCAACCAGAAAAAACCCTTGTTCCTTCCTATTATTGCTTATACTCTTTCTACAACAAAATTAGAAATAAGGGCAAAATAGTTTCTGCTGGGTATTGAGGGGGGGAGAGGGAGGGGGCGGAGTGGGTAGTAAGGGAGGGGGTGGGGGCAGGGGGGAGAAATGAACCAAGCCTTGTATGCACATATGAATAATAAAAGAAAAATGAAAAAAAAAAAGCACCTGAGTATGATAAGAAAAGCAACTGCAGTTACTGGCTGCAGAAAAATATGGTAGTGAATGGACTGTGATATTGTGATATAATAAATATTTCATTCCTTTCCCTAGTTCCTGGAACAGAACTCCTAAAATCTTGTGGTTTCCTAAAGAAAACGGTGGTAGAAGACTCTGCTATTCTAATATTTGGTCTTAGACAAGAGTTCCTGTCACAGAGCTCCTGGTCACTTGGAATTTTCTGAGTAATAGGAGCATCTTTTATTCTAAAGGTTCAGTGGACTCCTGAATTGGGCCTGGTCACCAAAAGGACCAAAGCCAAGGATAGAACTTCTAGGCCATTGTGCAAACCCTCAAAGTATAGCCAGTACATCAGAAGTCCAGAGCCTAAACTTGGGAATGGCGTCTGAAGTGTGTGCCAGTTTTGTAGGATTCCTTAACCTATGAGGTCTGACTCTACATTCAACTCTATACCACAGAACTGAATTGAGTTATAGAACATCCATTGGTATCCACTTGGTCAGTGAGGAAGAAAAATCAACACATTTTGGTCACCAGAATTGTTGAGGGTTGAGAGCATTACTAGTCGGAAAAAACTTTCAAGGTTGTTTTGGTTTTGTTTGGCTTTGTTTTACTCCATTATTCTCCTTTTTGCAGCAATCAGATTATCTTGACTTTCAATTCTGGATCTACAGATTTGTGCCAGAATATGATGCCAATATATAATATCTGTATATGTCAGGCAAGTTGGACATTGAACAGCAGAAGTTAAATCAGTCTTAGCAAGTGGAGGACCATGCTCTTGGACCCATACATACTTCCATCTACTGCTTTCATAGCCCATTGGACCAGTCCTGGGGTGGTCTATGCAGACTCTGGTTGATGTGAACTTCCCTGAAGCGATTCTATTGTGGATAATCTTGGTGGGAATTACATGAAATACAAAATTATTCATACTTCTTTTTCCATTCTGACAGATGTATCTACGTATTCCAAACCTTCTCCCCTCAAGTTCTTGAACAATTAGCCAAGCAATTTGCCACTGCCTATTTGGTATTTGCAACTATTCTTCCATTAATCCACTTCTCTTTCCACATGACCTGGTGTGCCACTCAGACTTGGGCTCACTGGGAGGATTTACCATCACTACTGTCTTTCACAACTACCCCTTGAGTGTGACTATAGTGTAGTAGCAATCCATTTTCATCTCACACCAATCTACTGAGCCCATCCATATATGAGTCAAAGTAAACCTTTTTCCCCCATGAACTTAGCCTAAGGTACATCTCCTCCATAGGGAGAATAAAGATTGCTAAAAGTTCTTTGACATTCTTCTCATCAGGAAGGTTGTCTATTTCCACTCCCCCTGAATCTGAGCTGGTCTATATCTGGTTTGACCAAAGTGGTATGGCAGAAGTGACAAGATGTCATTCCTGGGCCTGTCCTATAAGAGAACTATCTGTTCTACCTTAGTCTCTTGGAGTCCAGAGTCGCCATATGAAAAGCTTGACTGTCTTGCTGGATAGACCAGGTGGAAAGGCCCTAAGATAACACAGAGATGTGTCAACATGAGCCCAAACTTGTAGTGAACTCACAAAGGTACCAGGCATGTGAAAGAACCTATCTTGAGTCCTCTGGAACTGTCCTTCTGATAGCTGAATACATCCAAATGATCCTAGCTGATACCACATGAAACATAAGAATCACCAATCCAGATCTTCCTGAACTATTGGATAATAATGTGAAATACAATGAAGTAGTTGTTGGATTAAGCTACCAACATTTGGAATTTTTTTAATATAATATAATAATATCATCCTATTGGTGATGGGAACGTCCCTGCAAGCCACTTGT